CTAGTGTGAACACGATTATATGAAAAATGTAGAGTGTTTTCGTTACCCACATCCTCGTCAAGGTCATCCTGTCTTTGCTGACGGGATTACTTATTTGATTAGTTATATTCATCAAACCCCATGTTCACTCACATTTTTTTAGTATTCGCCATTTTTGGAAACAGAAAACAAACTTATCTCTGCAGTGTTGTTTTATTTGTAGTAATCTAATAAAATATTTGGTGTAATAATGGCGTCATTCAACTTCTTAGACCGAATTAGAGCGTGTTCGGAATAAATTATTCTTACAAAATGCTGCAAATCAAAACAAAATCGCAAAACATATCGAGAGTATAAGCGAAGTGAAATGGAAAATACGATTCATTTACCAGATTTCCGCAACAGCTGCTTTGCAACTTTAGGGCTGTCAAAACTAGGAACCACTAAAAGAAATACTTTAAAGCTTCTTAAATGAAGTTACGTGATAGTTAGTACTTTTTAAACACGTTAGGACTGAAACGTGCGCTGTTGAAAATAGAAAAAATCAGTAAAGCCAATATGGAAGTTCCGTGTCACCAACATTAGGCTATTAATGAAGGAATTACCTGAACACTTTTCAATACCATTCACGTTAAGTATAATATAACCATATAAATCTTTAAAAAAACAATTGTGCACCGCCAGCCTGGAGTCTATAAGAAATAACTTAAAACAATTGTTAAATAAAATAACAAGAGTTTAAAATGAAAACATTGAACAGCCCTACAAGTCGACAGGAGAACGAAATTAAATTCCCCCCATGCTAGCAGCCAATCTGAACTTCATTACGCCACATCAGAAATCTTACGATGATATTATTTTAGGAAAATACGAGAATTGTAGTAGATTGGTAAACAGTGCTTTATCGGGGCAGAGCAGCCCTAAAATAAATTAAATTCATTGTTCTATTCAGGGATGTGAGGGAATCACTCCTGAGACTGATGGAGTAAAATTTAATTTTACCTTAATTTGAATTGAAAACAAGACTCCTTTGTCGAGTCGGGTACGAATAATTCAGTGACGCAATCTTCAGTGAAGCCGCAATGTTTGACGTACCAAAGTCAAGAATCATCAACCACATTAGATCAATTTTATTTAGTAGCAACTCCCGGCGTACAAACCCTGCCTATTTCTGCCGTGAAGCAGTAATTCGTTTGGGCTGCCCTTGCACTGTGGAAGTTGAGACCTTAAAACTCATGTCTCAGGATGGGAGGCTGCAATTTGGTTTATGTCAACTTTGGTCGAGCTCATGGCCCACTTAACATCAGGCGGGCTGTGAGCTCGTCCACTCCACTATGCAATAAAAAAAAGCGTGAAGGGAATGCCCAAAACTGCCATTTTTGTTTGTGAAGGTCTAATTTAGATGGTGTTTGATAGATTTGGTTAAGAACACAAGACTCCTTAGTAAATAAATGCTAAAATAAACTCGTAAAGAATCAGGAGTACTTAATTCACTTGATAACGGGTTATGCAATATTATAAAATCAGTTAAATTTCAAAACCCAACTACCGAAACTGATAAGTTATCTTGAAAATATCTTCAATATCTCGGCTTGGCTTAAGTAAAATATCAAGGCACGTTTATGTAGTAAAGATAATTTATAAAATGATTGGTTTCGTAAAAACGGCACGATATCAGATTGTATTTTTAATTTAAAATAGTTACTGTTCTTCTAAGAAAACACAAATAGGCCAATAAAAAAGAAAGCTGAGTTTGTTTCGCCGGACCACAGCTTTTGAAGATGTCGTGGTCTAAAAGATAAGACGTCCGGTGCATTCGTATGTAGCGATGCGCCGGTGTTCGAATCCCGCAGGCGGGTACCAATTTTTCCAATGTAATACGTACTTAACAAATCTTCACGATTTACTTCCAGGATGAAGGAATAACGTCGTGTAATAAAAATCGAAACCACAAAATTATAATTTTCGTAATTACTGATGGCGGGACGTCTTGTGAGTCCGCACGGGTAGGTACCGCCACCCTGCTTATTTCTGCCGTGAAGCAGAAATGCGTTTCAGTTTGAAGAGCGGGGCAGCCGTTTTACTGTTAAAAGTGAGACCTTTACAACACATCTCTCAAGGTGGGTGGCGGCATTTACGTTGTAGATGTCTATGGGCTCCGGTAACCGCTTAACATCAGGTGGGCCGTGAGCTCGTCCACCCAACTAAGCAATAAAAAATAAATAAGAAATAAGGCTGAAGAGATGTTGTCCTAAGTCCTTTAAAGCCCCTGTACTATGTTTTGTTGACATGTAATTAATCAAAGTAAAATAGATGACATAAAATTTACAATACACCGACAATATATTTTAAATTGTAACAGTCATGTTTTAGTAATAATACCTTCTCACTGAAAATAATCTGGTCGCATAATTTCTGGGAATTTCTGTTCAAATCACAAACCTGGTCACATCCGACTCGAAGTGAGTCGTGTCGTTAGATAATTTGGTTACTGTCACCAACTCGACGAGACGAGTTTACTTATTCGCGGGGAAAGTATAGGGAGGGGTGTGATGACTTAATTTTCTGAATTCAAATTAAAAATTATTTTGCATTCGTTTCTGTAGGCTTTTGCTGTTTGTCGTAATTTTTGTGCATCTTTCAGGTTACCGTTTATAGTGTATACAAGGTTATGCTCTCGTAAACGAAGACGCTTTATTGCGCATTGGCCCATGACCGTTTATTTGATAATTCCAAACAAAATCAATTGATAAAATAATATGTGATCAATCTTTTTTTATTGTACGCATATGAAAATATAATTTTAATTGTGACAGGGTTGAAAATAGGTTGACAGTAACGAGGCGTATGCCAACGACCTTCACTGTGCGACTATTTGGACAAAATTATAATTTGCGTAATCAATGGTGGTAGGACCTCTTGGGAGTCCGCACGGGTAGGTACCACCACCCCGCCTATTTCTGCCGTGAAGCAGTAATGCGTTTCGGTTCGAAGGGTGGAGTAGCCGTTGTAACTATACTGAGACCTTAGAACTTATATCTCGAGGTGGGTTGCGCATTTACGTTGTAGATGTCTATGGGCTCCAGTAACCACTTAACACCAGGTGGGCTGTGAGCTCGTCCATCCATCTAAGCAATAACAAAAAAATCGCATACCAGAACAATTTCCTCGTATACCTAAGTACGGCTTTGGTTGAATTGACCCTGCACTAGACAATAGTCTACTCAAGTATTCATGGGGATAGGGGCACACAACCCCTCACAACCTTAAGTACATGCGTAGGTACGTAAAATAGAATTATCCACTGCTTATTTACCTTGTTCTTCCCTCTAAATTAGCTAATAGTAAAGTACACAGTCCGCCCAAGTAGGTACCACAAACTAGGTCGCTTTTGTGCATTCTGGCCTAGAGAATAGGATATATGCTACTGGTATTTCAAAACTATTGAGTCTCCCTCCTCGCGTTTCAATGCCTTTGATTTATTTTGCCTGTGAGCTCTGTAAACCTCCAAGCACCGTGCACTCATTGCCCGTATGATAGAAAAACTGTATAACACAAGTCTACTTGTTGCTTTCAGTGGCGTATGCCTATTTTCTTCCCGACTGTTCTCGTTGATCAGATATCGATCTATGCGCAAGTCAGCATTTCACTCCTTTAGTTTGGATGCGCTCTGCACTAAGGCGGAGCCACACATAATGCACGGGCCGTTTCAAAAATCAAAACGGGAATAAAATTTTGGCTTAAAGTAAATTTTAAACATTCTACATATACTTGATTCGTTATAAATAATACAACTCATTCTTTCTTCGTCGTCTGATCGCGATAGCTAATAAGGTATGATAGGCAAAGCTTTTTCTAACGGTAATGGGGTATCAATATGATGTCAACTAGATCAGACATATCGTAAGATCCCAATGTCCTACGACAGCGACATGTCAATGTGCCATGGTGGGAACAATTAAATTGTACGGATTTCAGGAGACGCAACAGGTCAAATAGTCCATTATCTATTTTCTTAACGGCGAATCCAATCTAATTTAATTAAATTTTGACTTCTCAGAGTAGTTTGTAAAATAATGAGCCAATTAAAACTGTGAAATTCGCCTAATGTTTGGGGTATGGAGAAAAATATTTAAATTTTATATATATTCTAAGCCTTTAAGAACAAATATGTATTTTGAATGTTTAAGTTTTCTTCTTATAAGACTTATACCCATATTATTATAAAGGAAAGTTTTGATACTTTATATGTAATTTGCAAGAAGTAGGTTACAAAACGCCCCTTCTTTCTTTCAATATTTATGTTGGCTGCGCCCTTGGCCCATTTTCTTTGACCCATTTTGTTATTGAAACCTTGCGAGCATCTGTGCCATCGGGATCCCTAATGGTTTTATTATGGAAGGTTGCAGTGCAGATGTTTTTTTTACGACAAATCCAAAGGACTTAAATGATTTCAACCGTCTATAAATACATCTGAGGGTGTGTTTGTTTCCTGAATGCTCCCATAAACTATTAAGCTCATTGTGTTTCGCGAAAAGAATGTTTGATGTCCCATAGTTTGCTTGTTTTAGGATCGTATTTTTTTGAAGATGTTGAAGATTACTGGTGGTAGGACTTCTTGTGAGTCCGCGCGGGTAGGTATCACCACCCTGCGTATTTCTGCCGTGAAGCAGTAATGCGTTTGAAGGGTGGGACAGCCGTTGTAACTATACTGAGACCTTAAAAGTTATATCTCAAGGTGGGTGGCGCATTTATGTTGTAGATGTCTATGGACTCCAGTAACTACTTAACACCAGGTGACCTGCGAGTTCGTCCACCCATTTAAGTATTACAAAAAAATAAAAAAATCGCTAAAGATGATTTTCAGCATTTTACAGCTTACCAATAACATCCTAACATACTGCACTATGTATTGTTACATTTCTACCCTATATTTACTACTTTATAGCCTGCGCATACTTTTGTTTTCTTAAATGTAATTATTTATCAATAAAAAACACATAGCTTGGGATTATTTCCAGGACAACACTACCAGTGGCCCAATTCAGCCGAGGAGACTTCTCGCTCTGGTCGGTGCTAAAAAATTGCGTCGGCAAAGAGTTATCCAAGATCACGATGCCGGTGGTATTTAATGAGCCTCTATCGTTCTTGCAACGGATGCTGGAGTACTTGGAGTACGCGCATCTGCTGCGGATGGCTTCGGAACAGACCGATCCTGTGGCTAGGATGGAGCATATAGCAGGTACAAGAGCAAGACGTTTCTCTGACATCCTTTACTCTTCAGTTGAGTCTTGTAGGAAGTTGCTCTCAGAGGCTACATAGGTCGGGTAGATTGTATCGGTATTGTCTAATTATAATTGTAATGTATTATTTCTGTTTTAACATATTTCACTCATATTCACATTTATGTTTGTCATATTTATCTACCTAAATTAGGATATGAATGAATGTGAACATTCTTTATTCAAAAACGTGTAGACGACTTAGTAATCTTAGTAACCATAATCTTATGGTTAGACTACCTGTACCCGTCCACTTCGCTCGGAATTTAAAATTAGCATTATTATTTCTCACCCCCACAAAGATTCTCATCATTAACCCCCGCAACTGGTGTAGGAAGTCCAACATTCATATAAATATTATCCTATCCATTAAGTACATGTATTTTCTACATGGATACCAAGTTTCAAGTCAATCGGATGCATGGTTCAGTAGTTATAACGAAACATCCTTAAAAACCACTGTAGATTTATACCTATATATTAGTATAGATGGTTAGATTTGAGGTGGCCGTCTCCATTCGCATAAAATCTATCTTAAGCTTCAAACTGGACAATTCTATGATGATCCATGCATACATCCAAGTACATCCTACCAGAGTTCAATAATAGTGATGTATCTTAAATTCTAGCGTTTGCCGTAAGTGCTCTGGCTTCAAACTGGGAACGTCTCGGCAAGCCGTTCAACCCTCTCCTGGGAGAGACATACGAACTTGAGCGTCCAGAGTTCAGAGCTGTCTGTGAGCAGGTCAGCTAATTTCATTGTAACAGTATAATCCACTGAAAGTAATAATAACTTAAGCATATAATGTAGACTTGTAGACGGTTCGAAGGGTGGGGCAGCCGTTGTAACTATACTTTAGACTTTAGAACTTATATATGGGCTGTGAGCTCGTCCACCTATCTTTTTCTTAGATTTTTTTTTCTTAGATGGGCGGATGATCTTACGACCTACCTGGTATTCATTGGTTAACGGAACCCATACACATCTACGACGTAAATGCCGCCACCAACCTTGAAACATGAGTTCTAAGGTCTCACTTTTAATAGTACAACGGCTGCCTTTCAAACCGAAACGCATTACTGCTTCACTGCATCGAAGTTCACTGCAGAAATAGGCAGGGTGGTGGTACCTACCACAAGACGTCCTACCATCAGTAATAATTATTTTGAAGCCTAATAATTTTTGAATGTGCGTTATTTACATTTGGAGCCCGCACGGATACGTACTACTAACCTTAGATCGATTATAGTTTATGGGGCTTTCGTTACACCATATAAATAGTACTCAGAACTCATATCAAGTGGATAGACGGAATTTAAGTGACGATATCTATTGTAGCAGTTGCTTTAATTAAATCAACCAATAAATTCAGTCGTCGTGGCCTAAAGGATAAGACGTCCGGTGCATTCGTTGTTGCGATGCACCGGTGTTCGAATCCCGCAGGCGGGTACCAATTTTTCGAATGAAATACGTACTTAACAAATGTTCACGATTGACTTCCACGGTGAAAGAATAACATCGTGTAATAAAAATCAAACCCGCAAAATTATAATTTGCGTAATCACTGGTGGTAGGACCTATTGTGAGTCCGCACGGGTAGGTACCACTGCCCTGCCTATTTCTGCCGTGAAGCAGTAATGCGTTTCGGTTTGAAGGGTGGGGTAGCCGTTGTAACTATACTGAGACCTTAGAACTTATATCTCAAGGTGGGTGGCGCATTTACGTTGTAGATGTCTATGGGCTCCAGTAACCACTTAACACCAGGTAGGCTGTGAGCTCGACCGCCCATCTAAGCAATAAAAAAAAAAAAACTTTTTGTACTATTTGGGTTGAATGATGGCTTCGCCAATCTGGAGAAATGTTGAAGGTGTCCGCAAAATGGCTAGTTGGTGAATGGTTCTGTTGATTATCGTTTTAGGTGTCTCACCACCCTCCAGTGTCAGCATTCCACGCGGACAGCCAGCACTTCGTATTCCACGGCTCTGTTCATCCGAAACTGAAGTTCTGCGGGAAGAGTGTCGAGATTCAACCAAAAGGACACGTCACTGTTGAATTGCCGAGGTAAAATTAAATCAATTAAAATATGGCGTTTCGGTTTGAAGCCGTTGTAACTATACTGAGACCTTAGAACTCATAAAATATCTCAAAGTGGCTGGCGGCATTTACATTGTAGATGTCTATGGGCTCCGATAACCACTTAATACCAGGTGAGCTGTGATCTTGTTCACCCATCTACGCAATATAAAAATCATTTAGGTCGTATCTAGGTAATTTTACTTATTGTTAAAAAAGAAACCGTTGTCAACAAACTAAATGAGAATATCAACAATACAGTTGATGTTAATTAAATATTCATTATAATGATAATTCGAAAACCATTAGTCAGATCTTAATTAAATTTAAATCAGAAATACTAGCTTTTAAATAAAAAAGAATTGTCAACCTAGATTTCGTCGTTCACCTAGATTTTTTTGTGCAGAATATAAATAACAAATACAGTCGCAATTAGGACCTCCTCCGTCGGTTGATGATCAATGGTGTTCTGATATTTCAGCGTTTTTTTTTTTTAATTAAAATCCTGCCTATACTTTTTATGAACCATCTGAGGTTGAGCGGTTACCGGAGATAATTTGGATGCCGTTGCCGATTTAGATTTAGGAGTAGTATCTCAATTCTTTTGGTTAACTTGATGAACTATTATCGTACCATTCAAACGGCAGCAACAGACAGCATTATAAATGGTTTCTATACATCTATCATTATACCTACTAACTTAGCCTAGGTTATCTTCTAGTAGTCTTAATTCTTGAGGATTAGGCAGTACGATATTGGATACGATGTTGTCACCAAAATACCGCACGTAGGTACCATTTCAGAAACGTGTGCGCGTTAAGGTATAGCGACGGATTGAGGATCTTCCACCGAGCGAGTGATATTGCTCGGTAGACCGACGGGTTGACTGTTATTGTTCGGAACTTGTATATATCCAAGCTTTTCTTAAAAATTTCATAAGCGGCATTCAGGTACCTGTCAAATATCTTTGTTGTATGATAGCTACCGCCACAGTACGAGATTAATAGCCAGACAGACTGTTATCTATACATTAATACGTGAAGCAAAAACTTTGTATCCCTTTTTACGAAAATTGCGCGGACGGAGGAGTATGAAATTTTCCACACATAGAGAATATAGAGAAAAAGTGCACAATGCTAATTTTTTTTTAAACAATGCATAAAAGATACATTAAATCAATAAAGAAAACATTACACACACTACCATGTATTTGACGCACACACGCATGCATACTATGTATTTATTGTCAAACTTTTGTTCTTGACGTCTGTGGTCAAATTGAGAATAGACTAAATATTGTTTGTCTTTATTAATATTTTTTTATAGTGTAGTCTAGGCGAATTTTGTAATTTATGAATGTCTGAAAATAGAATCATAATAGTGTACAAGCTTACAATTTCAATTAATTATAGTCGAATTTCGACTACTGCGGGACCCTTCGATCAACAATAGTATAGATTTCGGGTCAGTGCATAAAATCCGTCTCGTCAAATAACAGCGCACTTGAAATGTGAGCTCTTATTTTGTTTAGTTCAATTCAAACACAGCCAATGTCAACCCGTCTCACAATACCGCAGTGTGTATTCAAAAGTTGCAAAAATAAGGCCCGAAAAAGCAATTTAACGGCCGGAATATCTTACTTTCGGTAAGTACATGAAGTATAAACTATATTGTAAGCTTTAAACTTATAAATAATATTAAATTTTGAACAAAATTACCGATTTTTAACCACCGCTACAAATGTTGGCCAAGGCTCGGCCAACACATGGACAAACTTTTGCTTAACAGAACAGTAAATGCATGGAGTAGATTTGTGTTGTAATAATTTTTTAAAATTTGTTAGCAGCACTTCAAAATTAGTTGGTTAAAATTGGTTAATGCTGCTTTTGTGTCTGTTTGTTGGACTCTCATTAGATACTTAGCTTTCCATTTTTATTTTAGCTTTCCTAGCAATCACGTGTGCAGAATGGATCTCGATTGTCGCCAGAGAAACAAGAGATGACTTTTATAAGCCAGCTAAGAACTCCGCTTATTGACACTGGACATCTTTGCCTTCCGTGCTCACGGCTACTGAAATGTGGCCGAAACATTGTAATAAAAATACCACGCTTGAAACCGTTTAAACGTTGTTTTATTATGTGCACTGGTCGCGAAAACTTAAAAATATATATTACACAAAAACGTAACGCTAATAAAATAATAAGTAATGTATAGATACTAACAAACATACATTTCCAAAACATAAAAAGTAAACAACTAAACTTTTACTTTAATTCATTAATAAATTATTTTAGTGTTAAGCGCGACTCCCTTACCTCCTGTAGTAAATAGAAATCGGCATTTCAAGAAGCAAAAATAAATAAAGCAAAACGATGTTAGTTCTCAGAGCAATTAAGGGAAAAGTTACTTTATTTGTTGCACCTTAAGATTGATTTAACATTAAAAGTTGTTTAAAATATGTCTTTTTATTGGTAAGTGACAGGAGTAATTTATTGCTTTGCTCGTTTTATGTGACGAATGATCGTAAGTATTAGATAATGTTTTGGAGATTTGTGACTTTATTACTAGGTGCCATAGTTGTTATTAGTTTGAACGTAAAAGTGTTTCAAAACTTTTTTCTCCGTTTGTTAGTAAACGAATGTAGCTATATAAGTATATATTCACGCGGACAGTTTTTGCTTTAATTTTGTACGTATCCCTTTATCTAGTTACTATAGTTGATCGAAGGCGGGACCACTAGTTAATTTTAATATTCTTTGAGGAATACCTATCCTCTATCTCTTTTGAAGACATTTATATAAATTATTTGTTGGAAATAAAGAAATATACCATGACTTCAGATTACCTAAACTGTCGTTTAATTAATAACAGGTGGGGTGAGGCATACACATGGAGCAATGTAAACTGCGTGGTCCACAATGTGATTGTGGGCAAGCTATGGATCGAGCAGTACGGGGCTATGGAGGTCACCTGCCACGGAGGGTCTGGTCTGAAGGCTAACTTAGTGTTCAAGCCAGCCGGATTTAATAACAGGGATCTGCATCGGGTCGACGGATTCATTACAGATGCTAGGTAAGTTAATGGAGTTTTGGGTATCATCAAATTCTGGTATGAACCGGTTTCAAGATTTCAAAGTGCGTGGATTTGATCGTCCTTAGTACTTAAGCTATGGCGCGGCCGAGCTAACAGCGCTCCTGAGATCCGTGTAACGAGGTGATAGGTGACATAGACCACTTGATCTATAAAAATGGCAACTTGTACTATTACAGTATTATCCATCGACTGGCTTCTTCACCGCGGGTTTCGATTCGATTTTATTAATTAGGCACATTGCCAAGTGGCAGTGGTTTATTTTTATATATATTTTTCTATTTACCATGGTCGTCAGTTTTTTGAAAGGTAAAATTATGTTCTCGACTGGCACACCACAACCTATTAACATTTTCATTTTGGAATACTCTGAAAGTGACATTGAAAGATTCATTTCTGATTGAATCGTCGTGGCCTAAACAATAAGACGCTCGCTGCATTCGTACCAAGGGAGACTATTGTGCCGGTATTGGAATCCCGCAGGCAGATACTAATCTGATGAATCTTATCTAATGAAATACGTACCTAATATTTGTTTGGTACATTTGTGCACGATTGACTTCGACGGTGAAGCAATAATAACATCGTGTAATAAAAATCAAACCTGCAAAAATTTACTGGTGGTAGGACATCTTGTGAGTCTAGACGGGTAGGTACCACCACCCTGCCTATTTCTGTCATAAAGCAGTAATGCGTTTCGGTTTGAAGCTTGAGGCAGCCGTTGTAGTGTTACAACTGAGACCTTACAACTCATGTCTCGACGTATGTGGCGGCATTTACTTTGTAGATATCTATGGGCTCCGGTTACCACTAGGTGGGCGTTAGCTCGTCCATCCATCTAAGAAAAAAAAACATTATTCAATTGGACGTTTTCACAGCAAACGTCGTCTCCGGTTCTTGTACGGCAAATGGACGGAGTACATCAAGTGTTGCAGCGCGGCAGCACACGAGCAGTGGTCCAGGGAGCGCGGAGACGAGGGTCCTGCCCACACCACTCCTTCGCATACTCCCAAAAAAGTCCTCGCCAAACTGAACAGCTTCAAAGTAGGCGCTTTGCGATCGATGTCCATACAAGAGGTGAGAACGGGATTCAATACGAAAACAATCTCTCATTGAATTTTTAAATTTGTAAATACAAAAGCAGTTTGATAAATAAGGGCGTTGTGAAAGCAAAACTGGACTTGTAAACTCGAACATACATCTGTTGAATTAATACCTGACTCGTGAAAGTTGTCAAAGTCTGAAATTGTAATTGTAAATTGGTTTCAAGGTTTCTGGAAATTCTGTATTAAATCAGAGACATGCAAGATAAGTGTTTCATCAATGAACTTGTGATAACATTCTTGTGACCAAGGCTTTTAATGAGTTTTTTTTTTTATCATCATGGTTAGGCGTGCTTACGTCCCTGAAAATCATCACTCATCATACATCATCATTCTCCTGCCCTTCTCCCAGTCACTAGGGATCGGCGCAACATGTTTTCTACTTCCATACTCCTCTACGAGGGCGGCACTGAAAATATCTGGAATTAACGAAGTGACACAACATTACTATTTAAAAATGTATTTATTACTTTTCGAAGTTTTCTCCGCGAAATTTGACACATTTTTCTATACGATGGAACCAATCATTGAAGCAACCATTCCATTCGGAAGTAGGGGTCTCCAAAATGGCCGTTTTGTAGGCGTCCACAGCTTCTTCAGGTGATGAAAATCTCTGTCCACGCAATTTATTCTTTATTTTAGGGAAAGTATAGAAATCATTAGGGCTTAGGTCGGGGCTGTACGGCGGATGGTCTAATAATTCTATGTTTTCTTGCTCTAAATACTCTTTTGTTCTGTGCGCGGTGTGAGAACTCGCATTGTCGTGATGGAGGATGATGCAGCGGTTGCAGTTCTCTTTACGGAGTTCAGAAACGACCTGAGGCAAACAAATGCTAGCATACCATTCTGAATTAACCCTTCTTTGTCCCTCAAGAGGAATAGTCGTAACATGGCCGGTTTTGGAGACAAACGTGGCCACCATTTTTTTTGCAATACTCCGTGAACGAACAATTTTTGTTGGCTTTAACTCATTTTCGAACACCCAAACTCGTGACTGGTTTTTTGTTTCGGGTTCGTACGCGTATATCCAGGATTCGTCACCTGATACAATGTTGTATACAGCATTTGAGGATCCTGCGTGGAATCTTTCGAGAGTTCTGACGCACCAAGTAACGCGAGCCGCTTTTTGCTCTTCACAGAGCGAATGCGGTATCCATCGGGAAAACAACTTTTTTACACCTAATTGTTCATGCAAGATTATTTGTATTTGACTCATGCCAATGTCTAAAGTTGCCTGAATTTCGCGGTATGTCACATGTCGATCTTCCTCAATCAGCTTACGCACAGCATCAACGTTTTCTTGGGTGACTGCAGTTTTTGGACGACCTTGACGGGGATCATCACTGAGCTTGACACGTCCACGTTGAAACTCAGCAAACCAGCGATAAATTGTGGTTTTGGATGGGGCTTCATCACCAAATGCAGAAATCATCCGGTCAACACACTGTTTTTGTGTTAAACCACTTCGAAAGTCATAATAAATCATCGCTCTTGAATTTTCTCGAGTCAATTCCATTTTCTCAACGACTAAACAAGTTTGACAAAACCTCGTGACAAGACCGAGAATATTTTTTAAATAAATAAATGGTATTCGATTTTTAAAACCAAGGAGTTTTCAATTAAAAAGATTTTAATATGACAGGAACAGTGGAAATATTCCATTCCCGATACTTTTAGTGCAGCCTAGTATCATATACCATTTCTTCACTCACTCCCCTCTTACATATATCGTCTTTCTGGCATCTTCATCTTCTGAAAATCATCACTATTACAGTTTAATATCAAATTCCCTCAACGTACTTAAGATCATAGGATTTTCTACAAATATATTTTTAATGAAATTGTAAACTATCTCCTTGTCAATGAAAACGTTACTAAGCTCTAAAGTGCATTAAGGTCTGCAGAGTTTCGTGTTATCATTAAGATCCTCTATTCTACACAACAGCCTGAAGAACCGGATCCGAATGCGGAAGATGTTCCGAAGCCGGATGACTCTTTCAACATCGACATCCCAGGGTCAGTCACGCTTTGGGAAGCCAGGTCTCGACCGCCTAATAGTGCTCAGGTATTGGGTATTGTTTTTTTGGGATAATAATCCTATCAAGCTTATTGATTTTGTTGTTGAGATTTCTGGTTGAATTTTTAAGGTTGCATAGTTTTTATCGCGGGTTTTGAGCGCGGCGACCGAATCAAGAAATTCAGTAACGAAAATAAAACTTAACACCCCCCACTCCGCCTACCATGTAGGTCGCGTTCAACACGTTCACACGTTACGCTTGTTTAGTGTTTGTGAATAAGCGCGCGGCGTGACGTAGCACTACATGCGCATCATGAAAAGTCCGCCCATTTCTCTCTCGCGCGGTCTAGCTTATGAGTGCGAAGGGGACAGTTAATGTTTTGCTTTTGTTAATGTTTATAAATATAGCGTGGACTTATTTTATTATTGTTTTAATATTAAATTATTATTGTCTAATTATAATCGCATAAGTTGATAAAAAATGCTATGCAATAGCTTTACCGCGGCAGTCCCCGAGTGCCACACGTTTTTTTTTTTCCACAGGAACATAGCACTATAACATAACATATACGGTATACTTATACATATGTTATTTTATTAACATGTTTCATGTTTATCGCACAGGATTCTATTGAAATAATAAGTATCGTTGAAATTTTGAATCAGCATGCATAAATACACCAACTGAAGTTAAATGTATGTGTATTATGAGTTTCAGAAAACTTACAAACAAAAAATACCAGTCACATATTTATTTGTCTATGTGCAATGCTACAGCTAGCAAAAGGGTGGAGTTCAGTTTTCAGGATCTAATACAAAATATTTACACAAAATATGAGATCTCGTCTCACCAGAACGGTATATTTGGTGACAGAGAATGATGGGTTTTTATATTATTTAAAAAAATTGTGGTTTGTTTCAGTACTATCAGTTCACTGAGTTCGCAATGTCCTTGAACGAGCTAGAGCCCGGGATGAAGGGTCAGCTTTGCCCGACCGACAGCCGTCTCAGACCTGATATCAGGTTGCTGGAGCAGGGTGACATTGACGCTGCAGCTGCGGAGAAAACCAGGCTTGAAGAGAAACAGAGGACTGCGAGGAAGATCCTCAAGAAGTCTGCAGATGGTTGGCAACCTAGGTACGGATAATCAAGAAGCAACATCAAATGAGCTGTAGGATGTCTACCGCTTAGTTAGCGCCGAGGATGTAATTCAACATCTAGGAGTATTTCAGCCCAGCTATTTGTACCTCCTTCTACTGCGACCATGATCCGGTTTTATAAGACTGATGGTCTCTAAATGATGTCTATGGATGGATACCACAAAAATAGCCTTTAGTAAAAAAAAATTGTAGCTTAGATGGGTGGACGAGCTCACAGCCCACCTGGTGTTAAGTGGTTACTGGAGCCCATAGACATTTACAACGTAAATGCGCCCCCACTTTGAAATATAAGTTCTAAGGTCTCAGCATAGTTACAACGACTGCCCCACCCTTCTAATCGAAACGCATTACTGCTTCACGGCAGAAATAGGCGAGGTGGTGGTACCTACCCGTGCGGACTCACATGAGGTCCTACCACCAGTAATTACGCAAATTATAATTTTGCGGGTTTGATTTTTATTACACGATGTTATTCCTTCACCGTAGAAGTAGGTCAATCGTGAACATTTGTTAAGTACGTATTTCAGTAGAAAAATTGGTACCCGCCGGCCGGATTCGAACACTGTTGCATCGCTACATACGAATGCACCGGACGTCTTATCCTTTAGGCCACGACGACTTCAAGTAATTATAATATAATTATAGTCAAATTTCGACCACTGCAGGACCACTAGTTATATATTAAAATTAATGTGTGAACAGCGTTATTCAAATTATGGTCTCATTACAGAGACTGTACTCGTTAGCTTAACTAGCGATTAAATGAGCTTGTCAGACGAATNTATATATTAAAATTAATGTGTGAACAGCGTTATTCAAATTATGGTCTCATTACAGAGACTGTACTCGTTAGCTTAACTAGCGATTAAATGAGCTTGTCAGACGAATAAGAACCACTCGAATATAAAAAACTACTCCATTTCCAGGTGGTTCAGCCAAGGCACGAATCCGTACACGAAGCAAGAAGACTGGCTCTACAACGGTGGATATTGGGATCGCAATTATCAACATTTGAAGGATGTTGATATCTTCTGAATGTAATCAATTATTTTATTACATACATGTAACCCTGTCATACAAGGACTGACCGGCCGCTTATACGGTACACCGTATGCTTGTAACTAACCTATTAACCGAATTCAAAAAAGGAGGAGGTTCTCTGTTCGGAGCCAAGGTTCTTTTATTATTTGCTATATTTCGCATCCAGACCTTGAAATATTCGTCTATCTAAATCTGAATTTTCTACCACTCCAATGATTATAGCAGTGATCAGTATTGCTCGAAATAACTTCAAGTATATTGCTGACCTCAGTAAAAGCGTTCGACCAATTGTCCCCGTGAAGACCTCAAGGACATATTCGATTTAAAACGGCATGACACTTGTGGACCTTGGTATATATTTACTGCACAGACTTTTCTGCAAGTCATATACGAACGTGTTGTTCGCATGTCTCATTATACTAACAATTCACGGTCTGCATGATTCCGCTTATATTACTTCTTTGTTCAGCTGACATCAGCTAATAAAGATTGATTTTTTTCACCTGTTCCAAAAGATATTGTACAGCATACGTAGAATAAAAAAAATCGTTCTAGTAGATTCTGATAAACATTAAATCCATGAAAATAATAAGATAGATAATATGGAGAAAAATCATTCTTAGAAGACGATTTTCGTCTTTGGCTTTGTTTCTCCCTGTGTGACAGGTTTATAAATCACTGCTTTTCACTGTGTTTTGTAAGCAGTATCGGTGTCAGAAGTAAGCTGTTAATGGGCAATTTTGTTAAATGTAACAATGTGATCTCTTCTAGAAGTGTGTTTGTGGATAAATGTGTTAGGGGTAAAGTTAACTAAACAAAAATTTACAAATTAGACTTCTGACGATATCTTCTGGAAGGATCTTTTTATTAAAATTATTAGAAGACCTTTTATTAAATTGTTAAGTGACAGTACTCCAAATCGATTCTTCTAGAAGTGTTTAATAAAATATGTATACAGAGGTATACCAACTATGTTTTGCATTCACAATGACGCGAAATAATGTGATACCTAATCATAAAATAAGTACAATTAATAAATCTAAATAAACATGACATCTATGTTACTTAACAAAAGTGTTAAATATTATGGAAATTTTGTATTTCCGTACTTTTCTTACCTTTACCGTAGCAGGTCATAATGTTCACCTGTAAATTAATAAGTAGCTTGCATGTATATAATAATATTATACTAGTAAAACTTTTTTTAAGAACAAGAATTTGAAAATGAATCTGACTTATTAAAAGTTATATATAGAATTATTATTATTGTTAGAGTTGAGCGACCAACGTGGGCAGGTGACTACCATCTGTGCTTAGGGCGAGTTTTTTTAACGTATAGCGTAAAAGTGAACTCTCGATAGCGTAAAAGTGTAAAAGTGAAAAATGCGTTTGGAACAGCGCCCCTAGCGACAAACGTAGGCAACGTTCCAAGTCCATATAAATTTGAGTTAACTTTAACGCTAACGAGAACGTTAAAAAACTCGAACTAAACATACTGGTGCGAGTCTGACGAAACGTGGAGTGACAATCTCGATAAACGCAACTGCTGATATTTTATGCACGGAGTGCAATTTACTTGTTTCACAGCTCGCAGTAATAAAATCTCGCCAGGAGAGTAAGTGACCCATCCGCATTTAGAAGTCTTCATGGCATATATATTATACTTATATATATCGAGCGACCCATTTGTATAAATTAAACATTTACTTGACACGTTTGACTTCGTGTGACTTCACGAATGACTTCCACGCTGAAGGAATAATATTATGTTATAAAAATAAAACCCGCAAACAACAAAATTTGCGTAATTACTGGTGGTGCGATATATTAAGCGGTTGGGACATGGACTGGTTCACGTCTCAAGGTGATTGGCGGTTTTCATGTTGTGGTGTTTATGGGCTGCGGGAACCACTTAGCACGAGCTAGGACGTGAACTCGTTCATCACTCTATGGAATAAAAAATAATTAATTGACCTTAATGGTAAGGTCAAGTATTTATTTAACAGTATAGTAACTTCGATTTACGAGAATAAAATCAAAGATTAAAAAGAAGAAGAAAGAAAGTATGTATATTTAAATATGTTCAAAAATTAAAATATATTTACTATTTTTCTTAAGATTAATTAGAGTTACTCACTCATACTGGCTTTACTGTTAATATTTTTAAAATGTTTTCGTTGAAACAAACATGAGGAAGTATTTTACCAGTTTTTTTTGTTTCGACACGAATTTATTTTTAATGGCGATCCTTGTTACGATAACATTTTTTATTTAATATTTATATGTGTGTGTACATACGTGAATCTAACTACTAAACGAAAGAAAATCGTGATTCTAAAAACAGCTCCCTTAATTATAGAATATACCTTACTTATTTAAGAATAAACACAAGAAAGCTTATTTTAAATATAATGTTTAGGGAGGTTTTGGATTTTGTAAATTAATGGCGTTGTGATGATGCAAGCCTTGTCTTAAAGTTGGACATAGGCCTCCCCCAAGCCTCACCACAAAGATAGGTCCAGCGCTGCTTGCATCATTAACAGAGAGAAAATACTTAAATATCGCCAAAGGGAAGAAATTACACCGAAAATACTTAAGTGTTTAAATGCTTTTTAGAGTTTTCTTATACAAAAAGTATAGCTTGATCAGTTTCTTTGTTAGCACTTTCTTAAAATGTTTTAATAGGGTGACGATATTTAAGCCACTACTAACTAACATGCTTAACTTAGAAGTAATCAGCTATGTGAAACGTATAGCTTAGTTGTTACGATAATTATTCTATAGTAATTTAAGTTACGTATATTTAAGGAAACATGTACATTTGATGAAAAAATAACGCAAGAGACCAATAAAATGTAGCGGATTTAAATAATCCAATGTAGATTAAGTATCATTAGATTTGTATATATGTAGTAAACGTTAGGCACGTGCTTTCTACGGAAGAGTAGGAACTCGTGTAAGTAAATAAATTTTAAGCACATTAAACACATTTCTTTAATAAAAACATTATCATAGTAGATAGACTGGGCAATTGTTACTGTATATTTTTCCCATTCGTGCTTTAAATATATTTCTGCCATTTTTAGTATTATTATATCGAGGAGTGAAAAGCTCGCTTAAGGGATATTTGGCTTAAGCGATATTTTTGCAACTTTACAGGAGACCCAGTTAAAGTTTAAAATCTGGAAAAAAATCATAGTAAAAAATCTTCCTCGGCTATTTTAATGGGGTAAACTTAATTGTAGTTCAATTAAAAACATCGAACTGTTGACGCTGATACCAAATAATAGGCACCTTTAATTACAAAGATAAATGTAGCGTATTAAGCGAATTGTCGCTTAAAATAAATAGCATTTCACCCTTCGGTATGTATATTATAATAAATACGTAAATTGTGATTTAGAAAAATAGATATCAATTTTATTTTATACTGTTTAGAGCTGGGGACACCATTATCTTATTATATTTTCGGTGATTTTCTTGGCATTAACAATTCCTAACTGAATCAAAGTAAATTCTTTGATCTTTACGTTTTTTTTAATTCTTAACGCGTGACTTTTTTTTTTTTATTGCCTTTGTAGTCTTTGTGTCTGCTGTAATATTCAAATTTATTTTAAATCATCTTATTTCAATTCAAAGTGATTTTTTTTACTTACATTTTACGTACTTGTGGTTATTATTTAATCCTAATCTATTGTCTTGTCTTGTCTTGTTAATCCTATTCTATTGAGCATCAGAGTCTTTGCTTTTTTTTTTATATTCTAATATAACTTTTTAAATACGTCGTAGTATTTTTCAAGCATGAAATCACAAGCTCATACGTGTATACTGACTTTATAAATTACTCCTAATAAATCCTTCGACTAATAACGTCATTGTTCAAAATTAATCTAGGATTAATATTAAATAGCATTTCTGAAGGAAAAATAAATAAATAAATTTGTAAGTAAAATATGTAATCACAACTCCTTATTTGTATGATATTTAGAATATGATCGAGTTAATCGCTATTTTGATTAATCCAATTACATCAAATACATCAATGCACTGTACACATTACTATAATAATTGTTACATATAACGCGAAATATAAATAAAAGTATGGTAAGGGATGCGTACTACATACTATAAACTACAGAAATAGAACAATAAAAGTAATACAAGTAATTAATGTATGCCATTTGTTCCATAAATATACTGCCAATACAAAAACTGTGCATATGAAAAACGCGCTTACAAACCATATTCGGTTGGATACTTATATATTGGAAACCTTTTTATCAATCTGCATGTACCTATGTACAGATTAGAACCGCGAATATAGGATCGTTTGGAGCCTCTGGGTCTGCGGAGGGACTTCGGTTCCCTCTGTATTTTGTACCGTATGTTCCATGGGGAGTGCTCTGAGCAATTGTTCGAGATGATACCAGCATCTCGTTTTTACCATCGCACCGCCCGCCACCGGAGTAGAGTTCATCCATACTACCTGGAGCCACTGCGGTCATTCACAGTGCGTTTCCAGAGATCTTTTTTGCCACGTACCATCCGGCTATGGAATGAGCTCCCCTCCACGGTGTTTCTCGAGCGCTATGACATGTCCTTCTTCAAACGAGGCTTATGGAGAGTATTAAGCGGTAGGCAGCGGCTTGGCTCTGCCCCATGGCATTGCTGAAGTCCATGGGCGACGGTAACTACTCACCATCAGGTGGGCCGTATGCCAGTCTGCCTACCAAGGCAATAAAAAAAAAAAAATTCTAGCCGCGAATATAGGTAATGAGCCGCATTTCTTTTATCCGCGAATAGTGAAAACGCGAATGAAGGAAGCTCGAATACGGAGCTCTTACTGTAGAATATACCTACGAGACATTAGTGGAATATTCTGAAAATTTTGCTAATGATTAGAATACATATTACGTGCGTGAGAAATGTAAATATTTTCACAATTATGTGTAATATTATTGTTGAGCACGCCGGTTACAAGAATCATTTGTACCGTACCTACTAATTTCTTATTTACATATTGGTTCCGTAAATTAATTTCCTAATAATGAATATCAAAGTGAACTTAATGATCAATTTGTCGAATGACATACAGAACGGTTTTTTCAACTTCTTATCACTAACTTATCTCTCACTATTCACACAAAACTATTGTGTTTGAGTGAAATCAAATCCACAATTAAAAAAGTAATGGATTTAAATGGGTCAACAAGCTTACGTTTCAATTGGTTATAAAACTTTACTGGGACGCAGTGGATTGTATGCCGCGAAGTTTGGCGATAGAACGGCTGTTATGTAATGATGATCTATGGAGCTCCGACAGTCACTTACAACTAAGTGAGCCGTCAGCTCGTTCACCCGTCTATGAAATATTGTATTTAATTAATTGAACTTGTGCTTTGAAAATCGTTTAAAATTATCATAGTTTTCAAAAACTTTCAACGGTTTATGCCGAAGAGCAAATGTAGTTTGACGTAATTTTATCAAACTACATACAATGTTTATTATATGTATTGTTAAGCTATTGCATAGCTTTTATCAAGGGCTTTGAGCGCGGCGACTGAATCAAGAAATTCCGTAACGAAAATAAAACCTAACACCCCCACTTCGCCTACC